GAATCTGGGGAAGTTTCTGTCCTTCCTGGCAGGAGCCTCCACTTGTTTGAGTGCAGCCATAGTCTGAGGACTAACAGGCCACCCACCTCAGGGTAGGTTCAGGAAGAGAAGACAGTGGGCTGCACAGGACTGTGGTGTGGCTCTCTCTAGAATGTTTGCTGGTGGCTATGGTGGGAGGCAGCTCTCAGACTGGGCCTGAATGGGGTAGGTACGTGGGGCTGGATAGATACCATTAGCAGTCTTATGGGCAGGGCTGGGTAGATGCTGGGATTCCCTTGAAAGCCTGGGTCAGGTCTAAGTGCCACACACGCGCCATCTGTCCCAGCCTGGTGGCTTGGCATGGGGCTGCCCATGCCTGACTGCTGATCAATGGTTTAGCCCAGCGACTTTGTTTGTGTAGTTGAGCAAGGTCTGCTCTCCATATGAACGGTGGATCTACAAATACAGTGTCTTGATCCAAAATTCCAAATAGGAAATCATGTTTTTCCCACCCTACATCCACTCTGCACCCCATCAGATGGGACCCACTGCAGAATCTCCGGCCTTAATTCTTGCTTCAGGACCCAGACCAGCGCCTCTCTCTAGGGCAGCCCAGAGCATAGGGGCCAGGTCTGCCCAGCGTTTACCACTGTTGTTAAGCCACAGCCCTCTGGCCACATGGCCATCCTCAGCGAGGCACCACTTGCCCTTCTTAGTCCCTTGTGTCCCAGTAGCACTGGGAGGGGAGTGCTGGGGACTGTGCACCCAGGGATCGCAGCCAGGTTCAAGCCTGCTGGGAGAGCTGGGGAGGGAGGGAGGAAGGGTTTGTTCCCTGCAGTATCTGTTCTGTGAAGTTTGTTAAATGTAAGGGAAGCTGAAATTCTTGTATCTTTAAAGAGGAAATCTTATTTAACCCGTTGTGTCCTAGATTGACTTACACACATAGCCTAGAGCTCAGTTTTAGTTTAACATTGTGAAAAATATTAAAAGAATCTTGTAACTTTATTCTTTTTTTCTCCTGCTGAAAAAAATTAAACCAATCATACGGACATTTGGATTGTCTATTTCGGTGGTTCTCCTAGGGCCCCCGATGGCCGGGACATGAACGTAGCGTGCCCCTGGCCTGTGACTGCAGGGCGCTGTGCAGTGCTTGTGCTGGTGAGGATTTGCCCAGTGAGTGTCCAGTGAGCGGCTGCTTCCCTAGTGTCTGTAAGGCCTGGAGGGTCTAGTGCAGGCACTGCAGGGGGTGGTGTCTCTAGAACCATCCTGGGGACCTCAAGTATGGGTGGGTTGGGTTCCTGGGTCCTGGGAACTTGGGTTTAGGACTGGTGAGGGCAGCTGTGCACTCCTTTGGGGAAGGTGGCTCTGGCATGCAAGGTACATAAAATTTTTGAAAGTTTTATGTCACACAGAATAATGGCACCTACCCACCACCCCACAGTTGCCAGAGAGTGACAGAAATCCTCAGGAAATCGGAGCACTTGGTGTGGGCAGGGAACCAGCTGGCAGGCAGAAAGCTTGTCTGGGGCTGGAGTAGAGTCAAGCCGGGACCGGCTTTCTGATGGCCACAGGGAGAGGAGAAACTAGGAAAGCTAGGAGAACTCCCCCACCTTCTGGGCAGAGTAGAGACCCAAGGAGAGTCTGCAAGGTGGCACAGGGGTGGGGGATGGGGGTGGTAGCTGCCTGCCTGGGAGACTTCAGGGAGGAAGAGCAACTAGATAGGAGCCCCTAGTCCTGAGGCCCCTTTAGTTGGAAAAGGTCAGCACCTATGTATCTTCTAGTCAGAGGGTCTGGGGAAAGTCTCAGATCCTGAAATATACGCAGACCATTAAGTAAAACAAACAAACAAAAACCTGTAAATAAATGCTCCCCTTGCATCTTGTACAGTGACTTCACTGTGGTTGGATGCTGATGCTGTTTCTTCTGGTGAGATCTGGGGCCTCTTCCAGGAGTTGGCGGGGTGGGGCAGTATAGAGGTGAGGCTGCTCCTGCCTGCTCCTCAAGGTGGGGGTGGAAGACAGCCTCCTTAGCCAGCAGCTTCCCCACGCAGGAGCAGGGGGTGACTCAAGAAGCCATCTTGCCACTCTAGACCAGCATGCTGGAGATAGCATGCACCAGACAGGTGGGGAGTGAGCTCTGTCCCACCTCCAGGTCAACATAGTGCCAAGTGCATATGAGACAAAGAAAGTGTCCTGCTCAGCCCTGACCACACAGACCAGTTCAGATTTTTAACAAAGCTGCTACTGGAGAAAGGATGGTCTCCAGTGGGAAGAAGAGCAGCAGCCCACACAAGACTTACACCCCGAATCTATATCCAGGCCACAAGAGAGGCGTGTACAGAGAAGGGTAGCCATGAGGGATGGGAGAGAAGCTCAGCTTACCCTGCATACCCACACTCAAAACAACAGCACATGTGCCCCACAGAGACCACTGAATGTTTTGTATACAATAGCACCAAATTTTTTTTAATGAATTAACTACCTGACTAGATGATTCTCAGAAGATGTAGAAGGACCAGCAGGCGAGAAAATGCTGGAAATACAAACCAAAGCCACAATAATATCCAGCTCACCTGTTAGCTGTTTTATCAGGAGGCTGTAGCCTTAACCACATGGATGGGGTGTCAGCTAGTACAGTCATTTTGTAAACAACACTGCAGACAGACGCGTGAACAATTCTCCAGAAATGAAGCTCGTGTCTTCAGAGGCACCTGCCTGTCTATACCTGGAGACCTGGAGCATTCTTTGCAACAGCCCAGATACCAACCAGTGTCCATCTGAAGATGAGCGCCTAGAGAACTTTGTTACATGATGGTGTGTTGGTTATCCCTAAAAGAGGTTTAAGTTCTATCCTTGTGGCAACAAGGTCACGTTAGGTGAAACAGGCCAGGCACAGAGGCAGATGCGGCATGGCCTCATGAAGCTGTATAAGACAGCTTCCTCGTGGGTTTGAGAGTGGAGTGTCATGGAAAATGGAGGAGAGGCTGGTTGGTAGGTGCTAAGTCGGACATTCTCAAACTACATATTTACATCTTTTGTCCCGATGCTCTCTTCATCATAAACCTGCAGAAGAGTAATTCCTAAAACCATGTGACAGTCAAAACTAAGCTGTCTTCAGTCTCCTCTATCTCTGTCATTAGCCCAAAATTCTTTTTTTTTTTTTTTCTTGGTTTTTCGAGATAGGGTTTCTCTGTGGCTTTGGAGCCTGTCCTGGAACTAGCTCTATAGACCAGGCTGGTCTCGAACTCACAGAGATCCGCCTACCTCTGCCTCCCGAGTGCTGGGATTAAAGGCGTGCGCCACCATCGCCCGGCAAGCCCAAAATTCTTGAATGAACTCTCAGGCAGATTCTTAGGACAAGGGCATAAAGCACCCACGTTTGCCAAAATATCACAAGGATGGTCTCTAGCTCTCAGCATCACTGTGTTCCACACTCCTGCTGGATGGCTGAGCTCACTGCTTTTCTTATCCACTGTCCAAACAAGCAGCATGGTCAGGGTTGTCAAGGCAACACCCTAGAGCCTGGTGCTGGCTTGTCTCAGTCACTGTCCTGTGCTGTGAAGAGATACCATGACTAAGGCAACTTAGATAAAAGCATTTAATTGGGGGCTTGCTTACAGTTCAGCGGTCCCTGTCAGTCATGGCGGGAAGGATGGCTGCAGGCAGGCACGGTGCTGGAGCAGTAGTTGAGAGCTGACATCTTGATGGGTAGGGGACAGAGAGAGTGAAACAGCACGGCCTGGCCAGGCCACACTTCCTAACCCTTAAACAGTCCAACAACTGGGAATCAAACATTCAAAATATAGGAGCCTGTGGGGGGCATTTTCATTCAAACCACCACAGGAGAGTTCTATCTATATTCCAATGGTGGAACGCAGTAACCAACGGAGGGCACCATTTCAAACCCTGCATGTGGCCGCTCCCATAGCAAGTGATGCTTAAGGTACTGGACAATGTCCTGGCTTCAGCTGTGGTGGTGCAGGGCTCAGCCCATTTGTGTGTCCCCAGCCTGGTCTGCCTGGGGTGGGCTTTCCTCAGCTCTGGTGAGGTAATCAGTGGGGACATGAGACACCAACTCACCTGCAGTTTGCCTCTGATGAGCTGTAATGGTGACGTCAACCTTTCAGAAACAAAACAGATGCCTTGCCTGGCTGCAGCTGTAGCTTACACTCCTACAGAGAAACAAAACAACGGGGCCCAAGCGGAAACTTGACAAAGCACGGTGGTAATCATTTTCTTCAAACTGGAACTCTCCATCGTTATTGTGTGGAGGCTGGTAGCATCCTCATCTGGCCAGAAGTAGCTGAGGAAATAAGACCTGAACCACGTGTGACGTTCCTGTGATTTTCCTGCTGCTGGTGCCCCTCAAGGTTGGCTCTGTCTAGGGGCTCCGGGTCTGTTCTCCCTCCGAGCTAATGCAGGGTAAACCCCACAAACTCACAGCATGGCCCATGGGCAATATGGTACAGACTGCCCCTGGCTCCCACTTTAGGGACCAGCCAGGCAGGGCCCCCCATACCTCTAGCCTTACTCAGCTCTGCTCAGCTGTCACTTTGGGAGTCTGCTTGCGCTTGGGTGTACCTAGTTCTCACTGCCAGGTCAGACTTAGGAAAGCAAACAGGAACTGATTACAGGGTCCCTAGGGACACACCGAGTACAACACACCTGACTCCCACTGAGGTCTACTGTGACCGTGTTCGTCCTTAGTTGAGCAAGGTTCTGGGTGTCCCTTAGTGCTGGAGAAGAGGGCCCATGAGTGGTAACAGGAAGTGAGCTTGCGTTCAAGGTGACAGGTAAAATGGCATCAGGTAGGCCATAGGGTGACTAGAGAAGGTGCCGCAGAGCTGGCAGGGCCACCCCGCCCTAGAGGAGGTGGTTCCCGGGGCGGGCTGACCTCAGGGCACAGGAAATAGTTGAGAGCAGCCAGCAGCAGAGGTGGGCTGTGGCAAGGTGATAGGGAGCCAAGAGGGCCCTTTGAGAGACAGGGCCAGACATGGAGAAAATAAGGCACGAACTCGGGCATAGAAGTAGTGCTTTATTTCTGCGGGGAGCCCACAGTGGCATTGCACACACGGTGAACTGAGGGTCGCAACACAGCTTGCCAAGTGAGGATGCCACACCACCTCAGGGTCACAATCCAAACACTGCCCTGGGAACTTCCTCAGAGAACCATGCCCAGGACTCGCACGATCCCGTCTAACCTTCAAGAGACCCCTGGAGGAGTACGGGGACAGCACCTGCGATCTCCACTGGCTCAGGAATGGTAGCCATAGAGGGGAGGTGGCTCCTCTTCTCTGGAAAATCCAGTCCACACAAATTTGGTCAGAGTGGCTTATGGGCACTATCCTCACTCCGCACTGGGGACAGCTATGGAGGTATAAAGTGGCCTTGGGGACATCAGCCCCAGGCCAGTCTAACAAGGAGGTTCCTAGCTCTCAGGCCACGTTTGGAAGGCCATCCTGAGACCCAGAGTCTGAAGCAGCCACCAGGGGCTGTGGGACTCCACATCTCCAGCCCAGCTTTGACCATACCTTGTCTCTGGCTATAACCCCTGGGAGTCACAGATAGTACCCCACTTTCAGGCATATACACTGTGCTGAGCTGGGAACCCTGCTTTGCCACCTCCAAAGTAGTAAGCACCACTGTCACTGGGAAGACTGAGGCTGGAGACAACTGCAGGGACAGGTGTGTGGCTCCGGGCCACCAGTCTACCTCAGCTAACTGCCCAGGGCTATAAATATTCCAGCTGCAAATGACAGGTACTGAGAGGACATCAATCACAGGTTTCAGGGGTGATCGCGTCCTTCGTTGGGGATGGGAACTATCTGTCCAGAAACCCCACTCAGTTTGACCTCTAGCGGCAGAGGTTAGAAAGCAGGGGTGGGGACAGAAGAGGAAAGTGTGAGGCCACAGTGCCCTGCCCGACCACTGCTAGACTGGAAGCTTATTCTGGAACAAGCACTATTCCTGTACATCTTTCAAAGTGAAGTTCAAGGAAAGGACGGTGGGGAGGGGAGGGGGTTCTTCCTTACCCTAGGGAAGTGAAGTGCAGCTCACACAAGCTCATGGCCTCTCGTTCATCTACTGCCAGGGATGCCCAAGCCCCATCCAGAGGAGCGATGGATGCATTCCAGCAGCCCATGGCCAGTCCAGCCACTCCCCTCCTTCCTGGCAACTCCAGAAACCTTAACATTGGGTGCTCCACTTGGTAGCACAAGGCACTGCAGGGCCTAGGGCCGCTAATAAGCGCTCCCCTCCTGCCAGAGCCGCTGTCAGGGTAAACACTCAGAATCAATCATTATGTTGCAAACTAACCAGAGCATGGCCAGTGCCCGCAGTGCCAGGTCACTTCAGCACTACTACGAGGCTCCATTCACCACGCAGGGGGCAAGGTGACAGGAACACAGCAGAGCAAAGCTAACGAGGAACTTCCTAGAAGGAGGCAGTTCTCTGCCCATCCAAAGGGACGTCTGTAGTCCTAGGCAGGGCTGAGCGGTTTCAGTGCCAAGCAGCCTCAACACACCAAGACCCACTTTGGCTGTAGATTTCACGCTCTTCCTGTGCCCCGCAGAGGCCATGTTTACAATTCTGTTATCTTCTAAGTTAGAAAGAACTGCAGATTGGCTGGGTTAGCTGTGCACTCTGGTCTGACAATTGTGGAGATGGCTTAACTACTGAGCAATTTCTTAGACAATTCAAAACTCACGAGGAAGGGAAAGGAATGAGCCCAACGGACATATCCCTCTCTCGCTGAAAAGAATTTCCTTTTCTAGTCTTCTAGGAACAGAACACTTGTAATGGATTTGTCCAGAATCAACACTTCATTTAATAAAAGTGGAAAGTGACAGCTGAAAGAGCCCACATCTGTAACAGGCTTGGAACTCACTAAAGGCAAACAGGAAAAGTACGGAAGGCTTAGGAGATGCTCAGTCCCAGTGTAAGGCCGCCTGAAGCTGCTCTACAGAGCCCAAATGGTCCCCCAGGAGCCCCAGTGCGGACACCTGCCATCCTAAAGAACATGATCTGAAGGAGCACGAGCGGCTCTGCAGAGCCTGTGACCTAGACGCAGGTGCCCCTTCACAGTGGGCACTGCCAGAGGCATCATGCAGCAGCTACTCTCCAAGCTCTGCTCTTGTTCACACACTGTTGACCTTATGGGGAGGGGAGGGCAGGGCAGAGCAGGGCAGGGCTGAGGGAGCAATGGCTCACACTGCCTCTGTCCCCTATCCTATGACTGTGGCTCCTTGGCACCCAACCAGTCCTCAGGGTTAGAGTCCACCAGTACAGTGCTAGGTGCTGGGTGCACAGGATCGTCCGAGTCCCAACCAGCCTGCCTGTTGTTCACACTCCAGTCTCATTTCCAGTCTGCTGGCCCCAGGGGAGACTCCTGAAGGGGACGAGCCAGGCTCAGTCCTCTGGAAATGTGGACCTACCTTAGAGGTGCCTGTGGCCTCAAGACACATCAGCATGCCCATCAGCCAGGGGTGAGCTCCCGGGTCTGGTGGGAGGTAAGCCAGCCAGTGTCCTCCTGCACCCTAAGCAGGCATCTATCTAAGAAAGTCTTCCCAAGGGCGGCCACGGCAGTCACTCAGGTGACTGAGGGCTTGCTACGGTTCTCGGCACTCCCCACTGGCATCTGTGACTTTGATGTCGCATCTCCCCTCCGCTTATTTGATGGAGGGGACCATGGCAGTGCCGACATCGAAGGTTCCCTTCTATAGTCATAACCTGAATACACAATAGTATCCTAAGGAGAAAGGAAGTCACAAGGTATGGGTCTGGGATGTGGGGAATGGGCTGCCAAGAGCACCGCGTGCCCAGTGCTTAGCATGATAGGTGTGTGTGTTGACCCCAATGTGGCTTCTTGTCAACTCAGTCCCACTGAAGCAGGATTGCCCTGAGTGTGGCCAACCTAGGCTACACAGAGAAGAACTATCTTAGCAAATAACTGAACAAGAACAATACAAATGAGCCCTCATGCATTACCCTCCACGGGAAGAGATTCCACCCTCCACAGCTTGGGGTTCCTTGTGCACTGGCAGGGGGCGCTGCTTGTAGAGATGCTGAGTGGACAGACAGTTCTCCAGGCTGCCTGGCAGCACCCCATAAACAATGGGGGCACCCTATCCACACATGGGAGCCTCCTCCCTGAGGCAGCCATACCACACAGCAGTGAAGCCAGAGATTCGGACTGCGGACTAGTCTCCCCCAGGACCAGCTCTGCACCTAGGCCTGAATGCACAGGAAGATGACCCCTACTGCAGCCTGAGGACTCGTGCTGCCAGCTCTTCAGTGTGGACAACCCATTCCAATTAAGTCAAACTCAGAGAAAGCTGGCTGGCCCACCCTTTCACTTCTAGAGCAGGACCCAACCCTGAAGTTCCACTCTTCTCTGAACACGCTCACAGGAAGTGCTAAGGAGACCTCCTGGGGCCTCGGGATGCAACAGGGAGGTGCAGAGGCAGGAGCTATGCATGGGCGTGACAGTGGGAGCTGCGTGGAGCTGCAGCAGTTAAAGATGGAGGCCCTCAAGAATCTCTTCTTCACCATCCCCAGGCCTGTGCTCCTGACACCCCATCTGCTGGCTGGACAAGCGTCTGTCCTCAGGCTTGTGGGTGGTCCTCCAGCGGCTGGCACGGCCACTGCTTCCAGCTGCCTCCCAGGCTGGCAGGTGCGTCCGTCAGGAATGACAGGTTAATAAAGTGACAATTTGATCAATTATGAACTCCAGTGTCCAAAGATTGGTTTGCACATTGTGTGTCTGGTTGAACTTAGAAGATTTTTCTGGTCAGGCTCAGTGCCATGAAGAGCCACATCCGGTGTCATTTAGGAGGGGCAGCTTCTGCTCTGCCTGCCTGCAGGCACTGCAGACTGAGGAAGACCCTTGCAGCTGCAGAGGGCTAGAGCAGTTCCACAAGGCTGCAGCAGCCATGACGCAGCAGCTGAGGATAAACTACACGACTGTAAACCACCAAGTAGCAATGCAAAGGCAATGGGGACACTTGGGCCTGGGCCCTTTTCTGGTTGTCAAGGTCTAGGGTTCCTTCTTGTACTGAGCTTGGCTTGTCTCTAGATTCCTTCTGCACTGGTACCTTGGTAACATTAGAGGTAGGAGCTGACGGTGGACTTGGAGAATCGAGACCCACTTCCTTCCCCTGGAGACTGCCTGAAGATTGGGGAGAACATGGATGCCCTTCTGTCCCCTGGGGGAAAAGCCTGGTTGGGGTGGCTTTTGCAGCCAGGTCTGCTCCTCCCAGAGATGGGGAAGGGTGCTGCACATAGGGCCCGCCTGGGAGGGCACACTCCTGCCCCACCCAAGTCACACCGCGTCCTCTGCCTTCTTTATTAGTGCTGTTGGTTGGGTGAGCGTGAGTTGGGGCCCGGACTCGGGGGCAGTGAGCTGGCGCTGGGTGCTCGCAGTGCATGAGGGTCGAGCTGCTGACTGGGGGTGTTGGGGTCCCCTGTCCCCGGTTCCTCACTGCTCTCTTCTTTTTGGCTGCTCTGCTGCTCCGGACACTCAAAGTGGACACAGTGGAACACCTGGTGAAAACAGAAAAGACCAGTGAGATGTGGCTCCGCCTGAGCATGGAGGTTTGAGCCATGATGATGCCACACCCTGGTGTGCTGGGTAAGTGTGGGAAATCTCCCAGTGCCCACCTTGCTCCGTGCCTGTCTTGGATACCTGGAAGCAACAAGAAGGTTTAGATGCACGTGGTCGATCATGATAGATGCAAAAAGATGGACAATTCTCGAGTTACACAAGTCCAGCATGGACACCTCGGCAGGGCCCAGGCTGGAACTCGGCTTTTCTCCTCAGGCCTCTTCCTCTCTTTTGGATCATCCTTTTTTAAAAAATACTTTTAAGGGAGAAGGGGAAGGAAGGAATGAGGGAGGGACAGAGGGAATGAGGGAGGAATAGAGGGAAGGAGGGAGGGACAGAGGGAAGGAGGGAGGGAGATAGGAAAGGAGGAAGGGAGAGAGAAGGAGAGGAAGGGGGGATCTCAGTGAATTCTTTTAAAATATAACTAGAATTTTTGCAGAGTTATGAAAATGTGTTGAAGTTTCCTGGCTAAAACCTTTCCATGGTTGCGTTCAGGTTCCGGCTGCGTTGTTCGTTAGCCAGTTAAATTCTCTCTTCTCAGCCAGGCGTTCCCTTCAGGAAGTTGAGGTGGGAGGATCTCGGGCTAGGCAGGCTGTCTTTGCTCCCTCTTGGCAGAGCGAGAACACCAAGCCCTGACCTAATTGACATGGTTCCTCCTCCTCTCTTGCTCTGCTACCCTCCTCTGCTCAGGACATCCTGGGCTCTGCAGGCCTGTGCTGCTCAGCCCCTCTGCCCTGACGAGCGACTAGATCAAGAAAAATGTAAGCTGAGAAAGAAAGTTGCAAGGACCAGGGATGGCTCTGCCTGTGCTAGAGAAAGCCTGCGCTGTGCACACCAGGCCTGGCTCCCACCCTCGCTGCCCCTTCCGCTGGTCTCACTGCATTACATCTGGCACGCGACTGTGTCCAACTGCGCCGTCAGGGTCACATGCAAACAATGCTTCCCAGTGCTGTCTTCCTGGGGTCTACTCACCCACAAGGACCATACCCAGCTATCCCCCAGGCCCACACAAGTCACGTGAGTCTACTTGAGTAGACTCTACCCAAGCTGAACCTTCCTGCATAAGTCCTGGTGACCCTGGGAGTTGCAAGGTCACATAATGACCAGACATAAAGAACCAGGGCTTCTGAGAGCCACTGTGGTCTGTGACCCGACTCCCAGCTGACCCCTGCAAACCCTGAGCCCTTCAGGCTTCCGTAGTCAGGGTGGCAAACAGGATGCCATGCATTTACTAAGTCACAGCCTCCAGACAGAAACACGGATGCTGGGGGTGGGGTGGGGCATGAACTGAAAGGAAGAAAGAAAAGGAGCCCGGAACAGGGACGAAAACGGTTAACACTGACACACTGGTCCTGCAGCGACTTCGGACCTGGGGCGGGCTTGGACGCGCTCCAGAGGGCTCTCCCTGGCCCTCCCCATAATCCCCACAGATGCTCATGAGTCCTCTTTGTTCTTTCAATGTACAGCAATTGCCGAGCCCAACTGACCTAAGGGGCAGCCTGCTGTGTCCTCACCATGGAGAGGGGCAAGGGGAAACTGCTAGCATGCTGGGGTGCCTACCACACGCAGGGTCCTGACACGAGGCAGTGTCAGGAGCACATGATGCCTGGAGTGGACCTTAGGGAGCACTCCAGATAAGTGTTCCCTGTAATACAGAGAAGACTGCATATACCAGGCCCCAAAGACCTGGGAGGCGGACAGGATGAGAGTGGCCTGCGAGGCAGAGGGGACACTAGGCACACACAGTCCAGGTCTGGCCCTAGAACCTAACTCTGGCAGCTGCCTTCCACCTGCTTTTGTCACCTATCAACTGTGCCAGGCTCAGTTCCCAGCCCAGCCAGGCATATGCACCCAGTTCCCACATGACCCAAGATGCTTACAGACACTATGTGGATGCCATGGTACCACAGTTCTCCAGCATCACCATACACAGCAGGGCAGGGCACTTTCTCCAGGACCCCAAACACCTTCCAGTTTGTACACTTCTCAAATAAAAGTGAAACCCCGTCCACTTCAGGGCAGCCACGCAGCCATGCTGGTTCTGAGGCTGCCTACAGTCAGTCCCACAGCAACCTAAGGGAAGGTGGCTTTTCTGGATTAATGGCTTGAGCAAGTGGGGCTCTCACAGAGGGCCCAACTGGCCATGTTCCTGCACCCACCCCTCCTCCCCTCTGCCTACCACGCACTTACAGGCCTCGCATGAGATGAAATGACTAAGCTCTGGCTTTCTCTTTGCTTAGGAGCTGGTGTGATTCAATTTCCTTCCTCTGAGCCTTCCCCAGACTGCAGTACTCCTTGGAAAGGAGGTGACCAAAAGTGAATGAGGCATACCGGGCAGAGCCACACTTCTGATTTATGCAAAGCCATTACCATGGTCTCCGCATCATTTTCCCTTCAACTTTTCGGCAATCGTGTATCCCATTAGCCTGTTTGATTGCTGCTGTTTGTGAAGGGGCACCTTCGCTGAACCGTCTTCAGCAGCCCGGGATCTCTCCCCTGAGAGGAGCAGCCAATTTGCAATGTAGTCATGTGTATGAATCAGGCCCGGCCTTCCTCACACACGGGTGGCCTTCCTTGTGGCTGCTGTTATTATCATGTTGCCAGGCCTCTGTGGGAGCTCTAATCCCGGATGTGTCTGAAATGGTCTGGCATGTTCTTTTCTGTGAGCCTGTGCAGCAGGTGTGTGCCGTCCTGACCTCCTTCAGAGCTATGATTCCCCAGGCACCATGGGCAGACTTTTTCAAGGTCTGAACAGGAGGGGAAGGGAGGAGTAGCGGGGAGAGACTATTAGCGCAGTATGGACTGTAGAAGATATTGGGGGGAAAGGAATAAATACTGATCAGTGACTCCCCCTGGCTTCTGCGGCTTCTGGGTAATTTTCACAGTCTACTCTCCTGCCAACCAGAACAAACAGGACGTCTGACCCACCCTCCTGACTTGTATTTCCAAGGTGACGGTCTATATAAAGTAGACAGCCAGCTTCCTCTCACTGGCTGCCCATAAGTAAGATGGAAGTCTGAGGTCTGTCCCCCTTCAATCACCACGACAGATGTTAGCCAGCCCAGCTATGGCAGCCAGTGAGCTCCCTGGTGCTCACCTCAGAGATGACCGGAGCAATCCAGATCCAGACCACAAACAGCTTGTTTATTCCTTTTAAATAGAAGATCAAGGTGCTGGCACACACCTATAATCCTGGAACTTAGGGATCTGAAGCAGGGGGATTGTGAGCTAGAAGCTAGTTTGCTATGTTGTAAAAATCAAACCAAATTGACCAACCAAACAACAGTCCAAATCAGGAGCAGGAAGGACGGCACTGTTCCCAGGTCTCGGTCGGGAATGCCTGAGTCCGGGTAGATCTGCTGAACCAGGGACTCCTGACGAGAGGAGTCAGAGAGTGGTGGGAGGTGAAGGTGGCAGTGTGGCCTGTCTTCCCGTGTTCAGGCCCCACCTTCCTGCCACATGTCAGCTGTTCTCACAGTACACTTCCAGGCCTCCTATGCTAGAGGGGTAGGCCTCCAGGACAAGGGGACATGGCCTTGGTGAAGGCCCCACTTCTTGTGAATAGTAACTGCGAGCAGGCTCCCTCTGACTCCTGCCCAGCACGCTGGCCCATGCAGCCTGAGGAAGGACTGGTATGTGACATCCACACGCTCTACTCTCAAGAGCTATGGTGCACTGGGCACTGGGGTCAAACCCTCCTGCTGGGACCGTCCACCGAAGCTGTCCAGGGACCCAGGCCACTGCTGCCCCTACACACTGTCTCTCTGGCCCAGCACCTTATCCTGGTCCACAGTACCTTCCTTGTCCATGGTGCCACGTGAAAGCTCTGTGTGCCAGGGTCAGCTCCTGCTGTGTGCATCTTTCTCTGGCCACAACACCCCAGGGGGGCAGGCTCTCCCCAGGAGCAGAAGGGCCTACAAGCTGGGGCTGTCTCATGCAGGGTGGGTTTCTCCTCTCTACCTGCAGTCAGTCTGTCTCCACCTGCGGCCTGCTGCATGCCTGCCGCTGCTCTGGGAATTCTCAGCAGGAGGCTGCCTGAGGCACCTTCTACACCTAGATGATGTCTCTGGGGAGAACATGGCAGAAGAGTCCTTCAGGGGTCAGGGCACACCCAGAGGGGTCTGGAAAATAATTACCCCAGGCCAGCAAGGAACATTTATTTAGTTTTCATAGTCTGTTTTCCTGGCTTTATTTTCCCACTAAAGCCACATGTTGCTATGGGAACGAGGTGGCACTCGGAGCCCAGTCACTCAGTGGCCTGATGGAGCCTGTGGGTGAAGCCGACCTCAGCATGGAAGGCAGCTCAGGCAGCCATGTGCAGACCCTGCCCTGCTGCTGCTGGCCTGTGGGGCCCTCTCTGCAGCAAGCTCACAGCTGGTTACGGGGTTCCCAACACATGGCAGAGGTGTGGACCCATCTGCAAGCCCCTCCTCCACATGCTCCGTGGCCGCTGTTTCTTACAGAGAGCGGACCCTGCCCTTCTACCAGCCCTGCACACACCCCCATCAGAGCCATCTCAGCTGCCCTTCTACCTCTGTCCACCATTTCAACATGACCAGAGATACAAATGTTACTTGAGGCATAGGCTCTTCAAAAGGGGACACTGCCAGGCAGAGAGGCTGCAGTCCCCGTGCTCTACCTCAGTTTCTCTCTAGACTTAGTGGATCTGGTGCTCAAGGCAAGCCCATCAGAGTGTATGCACTGTCCTAAGCTACGGGCCAGTGTGGAGTAGAGCCCGCTCTGGCACCTCAGCATCGGTTATCAATTCCTGGGAGACACAGCAGTAGAGAGCCAGTCTGACCAGACGCCTCCACATACAGTTTATACATGTATACAGTTGGGTGAGAATTACACGCACTGAGCCACAGCTTGACTCAAGCCTTCTTAGCCCAGGAACTTTGTTCGGCTGAGGCGCAGCTGTCCCCTGGCCTTTGTCCTCCGCAGTTTTATCACTTGTGGGTCTCTCCTGGTGTGAGCGTATGTAAAGGGGGTCCTACTCCATGGGGGCCTAGGTGTCCTTCAGAGCACTATGATGCATACCCAGCATGGATGGGACATGCTGTGTTGTCCGCCAAGTCTTCTGTGGGCAGTAAGCACTGGGTCCATCAGGGAGGAGGAACACTTCCCGGTGCCAGGGGGAAGGCTGGGGGAAATCAGAAGAGCTCAAACAGGCTACCAAGAGCTGACCTCCACAGACTGGGAGGCTGCCATTGCTGGGAGCCACCTACATCTGAGGGAAGAGGGGCATCACCACAGCAGACACAGGCTGTGCCTCTGGACACAGGAGGGCCTGGCCAGACACAGAACCCCAATCTGCCTGTGCCTGGAAGCCTCCTCCAGCCCTGCTGGTATCCAGCCCTGCTGGTATCCAGCCCTGCTATCCTAAGCCAGCTGGATGTCCCAGGTCAAGGCAGAACCCACCACAGAGCTGCAAAGCTGTCGACTCACGGGCTCCAGGCTGCAGGGACCTTGCAGGGCTCTAAACAAGCAGCTTCTCCAGCCACACACACACTGATAGGACACCTAGTCCCCGTGAATGCCTTTCCAGCCTCAGGAGGCCCTGCATACCGATAGGACACCTACTCTCCGCGAACGCCCTTCCAGCCTCAGGAGGCCCTGCACACCGATAGGACACCTAGTCCCTGTCAATGCCCTTCCAGCCTCAGGAGGCCCTGCACGGGCTCCCACGGTCCCTGCTCTGCACGCCTTCTCTGAAGAATTCCCCAGCAAGGCAGCTCCTGTTCCTCTTTTATGTACACAACTGTGTATTTTGTGACCAATGAATAAATAAACGAAAATTAGAACCCAGGTTCTCCTGTGCAACTTGACACCAGCAGCATCAGCACAGGTCTGTGGTACAAGCACTCGGCTGAAGAAAGCAAGTGCTGTCCTGTAATGGAGGCCACAGGAAGAACCATACGGCTGAGGTCATAGGTTCATATGGTGAGACCCTGGCCCTGCCCCCACAGTACAGCCTTAGGAGGCAGGGCCATTGAGGGCCACTAGATTTAGAAGCCTATGGCTAGTGTCCTCACAGGAGGAGAGAGGGACCCTGACTCACCAACTCCCTTTCCAGGTATGTGTTCCAAGAAAGGCCTTGTAAAGGTGGACAGGTGAGCCAGCTCCTCCATCAACACTGTGTGCACACTGGCCTGGAAGGCCAGCCTCCTGAGCACGAGAAACAAGCGTCTATCACGTTAGCCATACAGCAGACGGGCTCTGCCCTGGCAATGCAAGCCACTATGGCCACTGAAGTCACCTGGCAGCCGAGCAGGGGCAGGCTGAGGAAACCCTGCTTCTCCTTACCCCTATTTATGACAGCATGCTGCTGGCTCCCCTGGGGCCGACACTGACACCTAGCTTCCTTTCCCCGACTGTGCCCTATGCATCAGCCGGACACTCCTGCCTGGCCACATCATTCTCCCTTAGAGCTGTCCCCAGGTGTTCTGCCCACCCAGCCCTGAGTCATTCTCCTCTCCCCTCACAGTCATCACTCATATCCCTTTTCCAGAGGATATACAAAACCCAGCGGGGACAGCACAGCAAGGAACTTTCTCCCGGGGAGTCTGCACATCCTCCACACCCAGGGAAATGCACCTGCTGCTCCTCCAGTCCCTGGAGAATGACAGCTTCCTGTTCATCATGCATTTTATGATTTACGATGTTTTCCAATTGACAACACTATGTCGAGGCTTTATTTTCCCAATCAGTAACTGACTCTAGAAGGCAGCTAGGGAAGTTACTCACCAGCCAGATGAGGCAGGTGACCATGTCAGGCTGCCCTCTAGCTAGGCCCACCGACACTCTGTGCAGAGACCCGGAGGAAACCCCCTCAACAGAGACCCTGCACCCTGCTGTATAGTACTGTGGCGGGAGGTGGAGCTTCAGAAAGAGCTGCGCTGAAATCCAGCGTCCAAGGTTTTCCCCTTGCTTTGGTCAAAGTGCTGGTGGTGCCGAGTGTGGCCTCCCTCCTGACTTGAGAAGCCCTTCATGGAACACAGCATTCTGGAGTTCCAGCTAGGCATTTAAGCAGAAGACCAGACTTCCTGGGCTGGGGGAGGGGGGAGGGGCTTACCGTATTAGAAAGACTCCGAATAGAAAATATTTTAGTTTTGTTATTTGTATAGATAAAGCTACATTGTTCTTTTTAATTCAGGAGTAATATACATGTAAAGTGTAAGTGGTAGGAAATCTCAGAACTCAGATCTGCATAGATGGATCAGTGGTTCTAAGCACATCCGCTCTTCCTAGCACCCACATCAGGCAGCTCACAACTGCTTAACTCCAGTTATCAGAAGCTGAAGGTACCCAAATGCACACTTATATACATAATTTAAAATATGATAAATTTCAAAAAGAACAATTGGAACTTATTTTAAGACTATTCTTTTTTTTTTTTTGGTTTTGTTTTGGAGCCTGTCCTGGAACTAGCTCTTGTAGACCAGGCTGGTCTCGAACTCACAGAGATCCGCCTGCCTCTGCCTCCCGAGTGCTGGGATTAAAGGCGTGCGCCACCACCGCCCGGCCAAGACTATTCATTTGAAAATAAAACATTAAATGCAAATTCAAATTTGTTTTTGATATAACACAAAAAGAAAAGACAAGTGGCCTTATGATCTGCTAGCTACTTGTCTACTTATTCCGGTTGTAAGGACGATCCTGCTGTTACAACCCTGACCTGATAGCTACTTGTCTACTTATTCCGGTTGTAAGAACAGTCCTGCTGTTACAACCCTGACTTACCTGGTGTCACTGTCGCCAGCTAGCCTTGCACTCAGAGCTGTCCTCCGGCCCGGACCTCCTGAGTGGCCACCATACCCACTTATGACTTAAACCTTAGACAGCCATAAAAGTATCAGCTGATTACTATTCTGAAATTCAAGTTAGTTTTGAAGAAGTAGAAGATGTTTGAGGCTCTATTTAGAAGCTATTCTCTGTAGGAAACGCACTGTGGGTGTGGATCATTATTATCCTAAATAAGTAAGGGGCACATGGATCTAAATCGCAACACGATTTCCACTTTTGGGGCTGTTATTGGAGCACTAGACATACCTAGATAGTTTCTAGATGGCACACTGGGCCAGTTCTATGGTGTGTAGGTCAGGTACAAAGTGACAGCGTGGAGCCTGTGTTTAAGCAGCAGAGGAACATGTGCTCCCCAGCATGTCTCCTTCATGAAGCATACCCTTCAGTCTGCTATCTAACGTGTTTCTCCGTCACATTAGGGACGTCTTGTGGCTAGTGCAGCCCTTGCGCTCTCCAGGACCCTATCCCAGAGCCTGCACTCTGACGCACAAGTCACCTTCTTGAGAAGACAAGGGCAGGAAGCCGGCATGTGAGACCCACTAGTGTGGGCTCCAACGCTGACAGCGAGAACACAGAACGCTTCCAGAAGGAGCCTAGAGCACACTATACACCCCAAGCACAGAGGCGCCACGACTGCTCCAGGGGCACCCGTGAACCAGTGCGAGAAGAGAAAACGACCATGAGCCATGACTGCCCTCTACTCTCAGGCTTCCCGTGCTCCTCTTCCATCCCCATCACACTGTCAGAGGCACATACTAACATGGAGACATACTAACATACTGACATACTGACCAGCGAGACAGGGACTGCACAGGGACAAGAGCACAGCCACCTAGATGCTGCGCAGGGCACTGCCATCTGAGGAGACAAGGGCGCCTCATTTCTCAGGGTCTTGTAGGCTGTTTCCACCCAGGCTGGTGGAAGAATCCAAGCAGCACCTGCTGACTTTCTCTTGCCAGCGAGCAGAGCCCTGACGATGGCATCCCCCTAGTTAAGGGTGGGACTTCCTTTACACTGAGCTGCCATAACAGCGGCCATTACCAGGCAGGGCAGACAGCTCCACTTAGCCAGGGTGCAGTGGTTACAGATGCCACTGCCCTTCTCAGGAGAGCACCCTTACCTCATTTGCTGTGTTGTGTGTTCCAACGATTCGGATGAAGGAGGCAGGCTGTCTTTCAAAAGTGACTGATTGCCAGGACCTGCAGGAACACAATTTTCCCAGTTAGCTGCTGCAGTTGGCCCAGCTGACAACTGGGCAATGGGTCTACAGGGAGGTGGGGGTGGGGTAGGGCGGGGTCTACAGGGAGGCGGGGGTGGGGTAGGGCGGGGTCTCCCCCATGATGTCATGGAAGGATGCAGATAAAGCACTGCACCTTCGAATTTAGGAGCCTGCCATGTCACCAGAGCAGGCACTACTGTGTGTACCTGTGACTGAGGTTCTTAGAAAACCCCCAAGAAACAAAGCAAGACTGCTGACCATGCTGGCCTGGTGACAGGAGTATGGCCGACTAGAAACATCACCAAGGGTGGTGGGAGTTTCTAGACCAGGGTCCTCATCTACAGTGTGGGCCGGAGAGGCCTCCTCACTGGGCCGCTGGCACAATCAGCAGGTAGTTCAGCATGTGTGCAGAACCTGAGTTAGGGGTGGGGACTGTCCTGGAAGCTGCCAAGAGGAGAATTCGCAAATAGGGTAGGGGGTGGCTGGGTGGAAGAGGGTGAGGCTGGGGGGCATGGCTGGGAGGAACAGGGTGAGGTAGGGGTGTGGCTGGGCGGAAGAGGTGAGGCAGGTTCTCTTCCTGGGCTGGAGCTGCAGAAGTCACTTCAATGCCAGAGCTGGTCCTGGGCAGGAAGTGCCCTAAAAGCCTCAACCTTTTCTGCTCCCAAACATGGCTCCACGGGGCTTCCTTTCAGGGCTGGTCCATCTATGAGTGACCCCCAAATCCATCTCGATATTTTAGTTTCTTTTCTCGTCCCCTCCCTCCCATGTACAGTGTGGACGCATCCTTGAGGGGGGAGGCCAGGGGTCAATTCCGGGATCTTCCTCAACAGCTTTCCACCTTACTGTTAGAGACAAGATCTCTCACTGAACCGAGAGCTCGCCTTTTTCAGCTACACTAGGCTGGCTAGCAAGCTCCCTACACCCCCTGCAGCAGCACTGGGGCTGTTGGCATGCACTGCTAACCCTGCCCTGAGAGTGGGTGCTAGGATCCAAACCCAGCTCAAGCTTGCACAGCAAGCATGACTCCCGCTGAGCTACTGCGCAGCAGCAACCATGCCATTTTTTTTAAAAATGTGTAGCCCAGGCTGGCCTCGAACTCGTGATCATCCTGCCTCCGCCTCCTTCAGCAAACCCTACCAGCGTGCGCCACCACAACCGGCAACCATGCCATTTAAAAGACAAGTTCTCCTCCTCTGCCTGGGCTAGCTCACCTAGAAGCCATGTGTACAGGAGGAGCCCTGCTCCTGGCCTAGCCTTCCTGCACACTCCAGGCCTCTGTTCTCTAAGCCCTGTGAGCAGCTCACAGTTGCTGCCGCTCCTCCTCCGGCATTGTAGAAACGCCAGCTGCTGCGAAGCTCTTTCCTGTAATTGTCTAATTACCCAGTAATGCTAGCAAAGGAAATATATGTATCTGCAGTTTGTTTTTCCCATTTGGTTTCAGGTGTTCCATCTTCCTTCTCACTATGCACCTCCCACTGAGGCCGATTCACCACCGCCCGGACACCAGTCCTCTTAAGGTCATTAAAAAGCCATTACCACCCTGTGCACAAAGGCTCGCCTCTGGAAGCAGGTTGCTGAAAACAGAGTAAGAAAAATCACTCTCTCTGTAAAAACACTATTACTCATGCAAACAGACAACTCTCCTGCCCATCCCCCATGCATGCCTCTCTACCCTGCTTCCCTGTGGGGGACTCCCGCTTTCCTAGACCCTCAGCTCTTGGGATACCTGCCAGACAGTCTGTGGGCAGGGGAGGTATGCAAGGCTATGGGGGTTCCACAAGCTGGTGGGAGAAGCAGGGCTGTGCGAAACATCGGAACCCCGCCTTCATCCCTCAAGTTTAGGGCACAGACTCCAGCTGCCCAGGAATGGGGACACACAAGAGCCTGTAGCCATCACTGGGTTTGAGACACAGGACAGAGTGGGAGGGAGGGAGGCAGAGCGGTGTCACAGATCCAGAGACTCTGGGTTTAAGGTGAGCCCTCTCAGGCCTCACAGAGCACAGGGCTCCAAGCTTATGGGCAGGCCAGCATCAGGCCTGAGCTTGCTGCCTCTGCCATAGTTCCCAAGCCATTTGCCTGTGAAGTGCTCTTGGCACACAGGTCTTGTTCCTTGCAGGTTCCCGTGGCCTCTTCTCTTCCACTTAGACTTCTGCCTGGCCTGGGGCTTGGGGCAGGGCAGCAGCTGAGCAGGAGGGAGCCTGAGTTTGTGGAGTAATAAGATCAGAAGGTCTCAATTTAATAGCAATCCTCCATTACATTGCATTAGCATCTAATCACATTAGAGTTCGTTTGCACTAACACGGCCTGAGAGTGGAATATATGATCTCATTTCCCGCAGAACTAGATACCAATCCAAAGAGTGAAGTGACGGAAGCTGTGGGCTCAGGGATGAGCGCCCTCCTCTCTCCACTTTCTGGAGTTGCTCCCTAGAATTTGTCGACTTCCCATGATCCCCGTGAGGAAAGGGAGGCTTCAGAATGCCATCTGCGTCATCTGTCCTAACTGCTGTGCGGCATCAGAGGACAGTGCTTAGAATAAACTTTCACAGAACCAAGAAACCAGCACCATGATGCCATACCAGTCAAGGCTGTGGCCATTCTTGTGAGCTTTAGAGATGGCTGCCTAATGGCCAGCTTGCCAAGCACTGCCTCTTCCTGAGCACTGAACAGTGCACCGGGTCTGTCACTGGCTCCCCACCTAGGGTGAGGAGTCATCTGTTCACGTCTCCCTAGGAACAGAACCACTGCATAGGCTCGGATGAGGGATCTGAACCTGAGCAACAGACCAGAACAGATGCCATCTTCCTTTTGGGATTTGCCACACATCACAAACCACCTACACCTGCAGCTCCTACCCATGCTCCCCCTCCACAGAGACACATCACACTTTTCCCAGGTACTATGGAGTCTTCTCTTGAGAACACGGTCCAAATGAGGCCTCAGTGATGTCCCCTGGGGGACGCATGAGTTCCTGTGTTCAGGGAAGGTATGGGTTGATACCATGATGCTGTTCCAGGTTCTCTATGGGGGCAGGGAGCTTGCTGCTCAGCCTGCAGCTCACGAAGGGGAAGCGACTCCTACAAGCTGTCCTCGACTTCTACACGTACACGGAATAGACTGCTTTGAGCAACTCACTGTGTGTGGCTGGCAGTGTGTGTGCACAGCATTGAAACCAGCATCTACCTCGCCTGCTGTGAGGAGCTGACCCAGAGGCCAGTAGGCAGGAAGACTCGAGAGTGAGAGCACTCTGTCCTGTCATCAGAGGCCTGCTGGTGACACTATGCTCAGTCCTAGTTTCCTGATGTTCGGGCAGGAGAGACTCAATTTGGACCTTGGAGCTAAGGCACCTGGGGTTTTATTTATTTATTTTTCGAAACAGGGTTTTTCTGTAGCTTTGGATCCTTTCCTAGAACTAGTTCTTGTAGAGTAGGTTGGCCTCGAACTCACAGAGATCCACCTGCCTCTGCCTCTGCCTCCTGAGTGCTGGGATTAAAGGCATGCGCCACCACCACCTGGCCCGGCACCCGGGTTTGAATCTCAGTTTGAACCTTTTTGTTTTTTGGCATGTTTGTTTGTTTTAAGACAAGATCTATTTATGTAGTCCTAGCTATGTGAGCTGTCCCAGAATTCTGTAGACCAAGCTGGCCTCGAACTCACAGAGATTCACCTGCCCCTGCCTCCTGAGTGCTGGGATTAAAGGGGTGCACCACCACACCCAGCCCTCAGTTTGAACTTCTAATAGTATTGAGCCCTTAGGTAAGTGGCTCAGCCTGTCTGGGCCCTCGGTGTTCTCATCCACAGAATGAATAACGACAGCTGTCTCCAACATGTCTATTGGGACTTGGGCACAGCCTAAGTAGAAACACCCAGGACAGTGTTAGCTTTTACCAAGTGCTAAAAGCAAGATGAACATGGACAAGACAGACTGCTCCCCTGTGCCTCGTCTACAAGCCATCACGTCAGACACGAGGGTAGCCGAGGCTACTCCTATCAGCACCCCCTTCTTTGAGGCAGACAAGCAGCCAGACTTCAGAGGAACTACCTGTATTTATGATGCATTCTTGAGCCTGCACCTGCTGGGTGTCCAGGGATCCATGCAGACAGTGCAACCCTTATGGCATTTAAAATCTCACTGGAGAGATTAACCGCCCTTCCCCACACTAATTAGAGAAGAAGACAAACAGCACAGGGTCCCAATGCACAAACCGGTGTTCTCAAAGTCCCCTCATAACTTGTGTGACACTTGCGAGTAATTTTTCAATGAAACAGAGCTATAAATTTTGATGAGGTTCCAAAGCTTGCCCACAAAGCTCAAAATGAGGCTAAAATATTACATATACGAAGCTTTAGAAAGGGGAAATGCGGCCGCTGCCACAGTGGCGGTTAAACAAGTCAGAAAAACAAGGGATTTAAACAGGCTTTCTAAAACCCCTGCTGAGGAGTGGGCACTTCAGGTCAGGGCTCTGCATGGGAGCACAGTGAGTGCCATTGATACAGAGAAACATGTGGGCCACCAGCACTCTGGCTCCTGACTATGTCACCGAGACAGGCAGGGCTGAGAACCCAGCGTAGAGCTAAGGAAGGTGAGACAGGACAGCATAAGGAAGCTGTGACAGATAGACCCTGGTTGGCTGCCATAGCAGGGCCTGATGACAATTAGCTTGTCTTTTTCCACCCAAGGGCACAATACAATCTTTCCAGTATCTCTGTGGTTGGAGAACCAGCTACGTCCTTGCTCTTACTCCTGGGCCCACAAGCTACCAGGCTTTACTTAGGAGTGTATTACTATACTACCCCAGGGCTAGAGATCACAGTGGTCTGAGCCATGGGGCACATACATGCACATGTGTGTACACATGCACAGTGAACCACAGGGTGGCTCTAGGAAAGTGATTTTTCTCCTGAAGTCTCAGCTACTATGAGGAGGGAGACTGTGTGCATGCAACAGGAGATCCAGGACTGTGGCAGGAGATCACAAGGC